AATCATTAAATTTACCAATAATATATTATGAATACTCCATCCAATAGTTGATTTTCTTTTGAAGTTTAAAAATGCCTTTTTTTAAAAATAAAAAAAAAGATTAATAAGTTTTTTTATTACTTAAAAAAATTCTATTTCTCAATTAAAAAAAATACCTGAGGAACGTATTTAATTAAACTAATCAATAATTTAATATAACTCAAAAAATATATCAAATCAATCCATTGGAATTTAGAAAAGTATATTCCAATTGAAATCAGTATCATCATCACTAAAGAAATTTTTATGAACGTTGATGCTATAAATGATATTTTTTGATCTGCATCTCTCTTTTGTTCACATTTATTATTTATTATAATTATTACTGTTGATAGATTATTATTAATATATTATTTTGATAGATTATTGTTAAAATACTCACTTTATATATAAAAGATTGAACTAAAGTAATTGTGCTCAGGAGTAAAGCATGTAAAGCAAAAAACACATCATTTGCTCTGACAAGGTTGTCTTTATTGCCATTTTTATCTTGATATTCTTTTTGAATTTCTTCAGAAAAGAAGAATGTCAAATTGAACACCTAGTAATTTTACAAGAAAAAATATTAAATATTATTATCATGTAAAGATCAATAATAACATTATTTATAAAATACATTTCTGTACTTTTATAGTGATATAGATAGGATTTTAAAGAGTTTCACTCTTCTGTAGTTCTCTGACAAGGTTGTCTTTATTGCCATTTTTATCTTGATATTCTTTTTGAATTTCTTCAGAAAAGAAGAATGTCAAATTGAACACCTAGTAATTTTACAAGAAAAAATATTAAATATTATTATCATGTAAAGATCAATAATAACATTATTTATAAAATACTTGCTGAATAACACATAAATCCATAGACATTATACCATAAAAAGTCTATGGATAATCCTTGCACACTTAAAATTAGAAATGAGTTTAATATTAATTATTATGAAAAAACATATCTCATAATATTTTACCTTTGACGTTTCCAATTTAATATTGCTTGTGGATAAAAACTTATTGACCAAGCTAAAAAATAAGTCTAGTAATATATGATCACGTGGTTAGATTAAAGATTTTAAAAATTTTATTTATCGTTTTTATCATAAACTTACCCAACCTATTACATTTGAAACTATTTCTCCAATATTATACATTTTTTACAAAAAATTTTTTTTGAAAAGTAAAATATTTAAATAAAAATAAAATAATCCCCTTTTTATTACCATATTAATTACATATTAGAACTATGAATATTGCGACATTTTTTATTGCAGATCCTTCGATCACATAATTCGATAATTGTGTAGTTTGCCGTTTTATTATTAACAAGAAAATTTCCTTATAAAAAAAATGAAACGAATGTAAGGAAAATTACAAATGTAAGAGATTTAGGGATTTAGGATAAGAAAAAACCAAAAAAAAAGTAGGTCATTCTTTTCATGAATAATAATTTCTTAATTATTATTAACATTGATAGTTGATAATACACAGTCACTCTTGCTTGATTATCGTTGATTTTGTTGGTAGTCATTGAAATTTTTTGATAAAATCAAATTCGTTTCAACGAATTATAATTAAATTTGCGTTATAACAAACTTTTATAAATTTAAGCACGATTAGTATTTTGTGCGGTAACAAACATTAAATTATGCATGCAACACTTGGTAAATTATGCGATCTTTATTTAAAAACCATTTTCAAAAATCAGATATATACACGTTTTTTAATGGGTGATGGTGGTGTTGATTGTTGTTTCAAAGATTTTTAATTGTGAATAATTTTTAATTGCGTAGGGTTGTAAGAATTTGATAAAAGAAAATTTCATCTTTATTGATATTATTGTTCGTGTTATTTTTTTTATTTAATTGAAAAATTTTATTGTTGTTCGTATTCAATTTGGATAAAATGTTCTTTAACAATTTTAGGCCACATAAATAAAACTTTTTTCATCACCCGCCAAGTGGAATTTGTGAAAAGTTTATTTTTTTGATAATTCTAAATTTGGTTAAACCGTATCAATATTAACTGCTATTTATAATACATACATAACAACCCCATTTTTACTGGTCAAATAAATTTGAATATTTCAAATAAATCAAATAAATCATAAGTCAAAGCTTGAATCTAGAAACAATAATAGATCAAATCATATATATAAAAAAAGGAAAACATTGATATCGAGGTAGCTAGAAATAAACAAGAAGTAGATATTATCAGTGAAGCTGGCACAGCCAATAAGTTAACAGAGTACAGTGAATCTCCACCACCCTATTATTATGATGGGAAGATTACAGATAGGAAAGAGAATGGTTGTTAAACCTGTCTTTTCAGTATTGTTATTGTCTATTCATCACAATTCAGTCAGGGATATTTCCATAGATGGAAATACTAAATACCGTAATGATCGATGGTATGAAAAATTCTAGAAGAAATTCTGATTGGCTAAATTCAACCAGGGATAATACCCTGTAATGATCGACGTTATGAAAAGAAATTCTAATTGGTTAAATTCTGTGCAGGTCTTTTCGTTGAATAAAAAATAATGAAAAAAAAAAACAAGAAAAACATGGCGGGAGCTTTATTAATTGATCATATAATTTACAAAATTATATAATATGTGCATTTTTA